GTCAACACTTGCAAAGAATCAATTCAACTGCAATATTTGTAACAAATTTAGTACCTACCCTAATGTTCATTTAATTTAAATCTGACCATTAGGGCAATTTAACCTAATTTCTTGGGAAGAGGCTTATTGGAACTGGTTGTCAATGACTAATTTGCATAATTTTGTTAATCCGAAACCCGCGTAAGTATAGCGAGCAGACTGTATAAATATTATTAGTTAGTAAACTGACTTTTCTTCATAATTTGAGATTATTTTTAAATATATATCAGGTTATGTAAAAAGCTTGACATTGATTTCTGTGTAAAAAATATTATATGAAACTGTACCTACCATTTTTCAGTTTTTATTGTAAGTTTAATCATTTTCACAATTTGTCACAGATGTCAAATAAAAAATATATTTTTAAATACCTTTTATTGGCAAATAAAATAAGAAGTAAAATGTTTTAAATGTTTATTTTATAAGATCAGTCCCATCACAATACATAATATTACATAGATACAAACTAGAATAAAGATATATAATGCCTGGCATTCTAAATGATACTCTTCGCAGACCCCCTTAACCCCCTTATCCCCTATTTTCAACCATATTTTTCACAATCAATAGGCCTCATCTCCTTATAGGGCTTGATTTTTACTAAAAATTTCATGTTGATATCGCTTCTAGTTTTTAATTTCAGATTTTTTTTTTAATTTCAACCCATTAATCAGATTTGTTAAAAATTAATACACTTTGTCCCCTTATAGAGCTTGATTTTTGCTTAAAATTTTCAAGTTTATATCATTTCTCGTTTTTGACTTATCGTGCTGACAACAAACGTGACATCGGACAGACGGACAAAGTAAACCTATAATACTCTTCACAGGATACTGTATGAAGAGTAGAAAAAAAAAATCTGATGTGTCCAACACATGACTTTCCTATCTAGTTATTGTAGGCTTTTTCCGGTTATTTTGTACAACCTATTGCAGCATCTCTATAAATGTTTAGAGGATAAACTAAATATATACATTGTCCACATACATCTACCTCGAAACATTTTTCTATAGATATTCATTGAAAACGAAAATACTGAAAAATTTAAATTTAGCACTTTTCCATTACGGTCCATTTTAGAAAAATCATGTATAAACAAAAATTATAGAGATCAATATCGCAAACAATTTTCATAAAAATCAGAATTTTGCACATTTTGTCAAATTTTTCGAATACGGACCATTTCAGGAAATTTTGACATAAAACAAAAATTATAGATATTAATATTAGAAGTAACTTTTATTTGAACAATTTTCTTCGCCAAACATAAATAACAGATATATTCCATAACATATAAAAACGGCCTCCCATAAAGTACCCCCTCAGATGTTCCGACTTTGTCCAAAATCTAATCATTTCACGTCAGGCCGAAATAAACCTTAAGTTTAAAATTTAATGTTTTTTTCTTTATCCGTTTTTGAGTTTTCTTCAAAATTCGAAATTTACACATTTTCTCAAATATCTCGAATACGGTCCATTTTAGAGAAATTATGTATAGAATAAAAATTATAGAGAATTATATTACAAACAACTTTTATTTAAACAATTTTTATAAAAAATTATTTTTTTTACATTTTCTCAAATTTCTCGAATACGGACCATTTTAGGAAAATTTTGTAAAAAACAAAAATTATAGATAATTATATTAGAAGTAACTTTTATTTGAAAAATTTTCTTCTCCAAACGTAAATAACAGATATATTCCACAAAATATAAAAATTACCACCTATAAAGTACCCCCCCAGATGTTCCGACTCTGCCCAATATCTAGTTTGTTCATTAGACGCTGGAATGAAGCTTAAGTTTAAAATTTGGTGTTTTTCTGTGTATCGGTTCATGAGTTATGCGACATACAGACACACACACACACACATACACACACACATACACACACACATACACACACACACACACACATACACACACACACACACACACACACACACACACACACACATACACACACAGACAGACATCATCGCGAAAAAGTCAAAACGGATTCAGGGGACCTCAAAACGTAAAAATTCGTCGAAAACTCGAGGTCAAAAAAAATCATGATTCCTATACTTTCCTTATATCTGTATACAGATAGGAAAGTAAAAATGTATAAAGTAAAATAAACAGTTTAAAGAGGTCAACAATAATATTCAACTTCTTTTATCAAAGGATACTAAAAGTTTGAAATAGCAGCACTTAATTGAACATTTACAGAAATCTGTGAACTAAAATAGTGAGATACACAAATATTATCACACTTAATTTTCCATATGACAGTTTCTAAGTGTATTTCACAGCACATTTCAAAGTATTCTTGCTCTCACTCTGTCCTAACCTTATATCAGATTTTTTGTATGTCCATGTTCACTAAAAAATATTGTGTTTTAATAAATAACAGAATAATAGTATTTTGTCTAAATAGGTAAATCGGCTTCATCTGTATTTTTAAATTATTGTTTAATTGTAGATAGTATATTAATGTTTTAATATGTACTTATAGGATTGATTACCCAGAGCAGGTAGATATGTGAGATGTGACTTGTTAAGTGCCTAATCAAAATCAAAATTTACGTTTGATACTTATTGCTCTTTTATGATCCTAGCTTCCACTTTACGAAAAATTGAATATTAGATCGCAGAATAATATTTTATGTCTAAGAAAAAATTTCAGTTCTGCTTATCGTATTTGGGTTTGTAGAAACTTTTTGTTTTACATTTTAATATAGGTTTTTACATTATTAATATTTGATTGTTGATGTTCGAATTGGGTAAAATGTCTCTCGTGTCTATCCAAAACTTTATCGGAATTTCCTTACGAGATAGATTTGGAGTATCTGGGAATTGCTTCAACTCGTCCGGCATTCTGTTAGTTCCCAATATAGTTACTTTCTTTGTGTTCGTTCCTATCAATTACGGTTTAGGATTCTAGTGACTCTAGTTACATAAATTAAAAAAACATATCGTTTTTGATACAATTTTCGATATTGGATATTTTGTATCGATATATCGGATCAAAATATATCGGCTAAAAACATCGATGTGTTGGATAAAAAATATCGATACATCGATATATCGATACTTTTTCAACAAGCCTAATCGAACCTAGGCGGTTTTCACACAACCATCATCCATCGTGGTATATAAATGGAGTGGACTTAAATTTTAAAATCTGCCACTGATCCAAATAAGAACTTACTTCAGAGAATTACAGATCAATAGTTGATTGTTCATTGGTGAACGATTTAATTTAATTTACAATAAAATTATCTCAAGACTCGAATATTCGTAAATTACAATGTCGGCGATCGGCTTTTGAGATATTCCACCTAACCGCCGGCTAACTGACCGTAATTTATTATTCTGAGCTACACGTCACTTTTCTTTTTTACACAATCATCGTGCGCCTGGCTGTATAAGAACATTCAGTGCTTGCTTTATAGCCGTTTTTACTGAACCCACGTAAATAAAGAAATACTGCCACTACGACTCGACAATGTTTACGCAAATCTTAATTTGCTAATTTAAAAATGAAATATCCATGTTATCATAAAATGTGTTCGGTATTTTTGATAGTCCAGGATCCGTAAGTAAGGTCGACCTTCATCCATCTGTTTAATGGATAAAAGTTTTTTTTTATTTAATAAAATTTATTTTTAAATATACCGCAAATGGGTTGCCTAAGAAAATCGGACACGGCCATTTTTTATTTTTCTTTCTGTGTACAGATAAGGAAAGTATGCGAATCATGATAAAAGTTGCTTACGATGTCATTCTCTATTATTTTGTTCCTAAGAATGATTTCCCTAAAATGGACCTAATTTGAGATATTTGAGAAAAAGTGCAAATTTCGAATTTTGAAGCCAACTCAAAAACGGATAAAGAGAAATTTTAAACTTAAGCTTTAATCCATCCTGCGGTGATCTGATTAAAGTTTGGGCATAGTAGAAGCATCTGGGGAATACTTTACAGGGTGTCGTTTTTTATATTAAGAAAATAAATAGTCTGGACCGTATTTTCTTAGACAACCCATTTGCTGTACATTTATAAACATATTTTATTTAATAAAAATAAACTTTCATCCATTAAACAGATGGGTGAAGGTCGACCTTACTTCGGATCTTAGACTATGAAGAAAGAATAAAACTCAAAATCAATAGCATAGAATTTTAATATAGGGTAGGATCGCTCAAGAGTACGAACTTAATCAATTTGCTTGACAAAAAAAAAATATCTGAAATGTTTTAAACGTAAACTTTATTCAAAATATTTTAACTCATATACTAATCTGAACTTCTACGACAAATTTTTCAATAAATCTTAAGATATAAAACAAACAGTAAAGTTTAAACAAATACAACAAATTGCGTATTCTTAGGTTACCGGTCCCTTAAGAGTACTCAGTCATACCCCAATATAAGCCATTAATATCCCAATCCTTTAATTTGAACATGAGTCACAACAAAATATACCAATTCCTAGATAATTTGAGCAGTCCTCATGCCACCATATTTGACACAAATGACATAATCCAATCCGATGTAGAATAGTGTTCAGAACAACCAGGACAAATCGTATCGTCTTTTTTATTGTCAGCTTTTCTTTTCTTCTGTACTAGTCCAGTCTGAGTATTTTCTTCGGGATCACTGAAAACTTTTCTTTTTCCGCCTTTCTTCTTTACATCTTCTTTACATCTTCTTTACGCTTATCTTCGATTTCTTCTAAGAGATTGTCTTTGTAAGGGGTAGATGACAAAATTTCGGACGTCTTAGATTTGGTTTTTCTTACTTGTTCATGGGCAGCTTTTGGTAACGGCAAAATCATTTTAGGTGTGATACAACCACTCGAGCCATGTTCCCTTAATGTCGCAGACGCAGTCTTCTATTTGGCTGAATTTTTAGAAATGTCCTGTTGTTCTTCATTTAGAATCTGTTTTTTAATCGTGACAGTACCACTCGGACCTGGAATTAGTCACACTTGCTTGCTTTTGTTTTATAATATCCCGAATCCCGAACCTTCGCAAGAGTGTCATTATCCTCGTCAGATGAGCTATCATCAATAGATGATCTCTCTATTTCAGTATGAGTTTCTTTGACCTGCTCTTGTTGCGGTCTATCCGTGACTTCAGATGGTGCAAAATCTGATTCACTAAAAATGTCAGGGTTATATTTGTATTGTATTGTAGCGACTTTTGAATAAGCAGTAGACATGGGTAACGCACTAAAATTCTTTGCGTTGATACACTAACCCCGGCGCACTCTATTGCGCCAACTCATTGCGTTAACGCAATTGCGTTATTACGTCACACCACTGCCTGCGCCGAATGAAGTCGATGCACCTCGGTGTATCGCATGATACCGGTACCGGTGTTATTCAGCGCGGGCTGTCTTTTTATAAGGGTCAAACCGTGTTCAAGACAATAACGCAATTGGGAATTTAACTAATTTTTTTTTTATTATATGTTTAAAAATAAACGAAAATATAACAGTGTAATGCACCCATTTTTTTATTTCATTGTGATCGGATTTTACAAAGAATACAAAAATTCCAATTTATATAAAAAGGATATAACTTTTGTATACTAGTAGCCAATCAAAATGGGAAGAACTAAAAACTGACAGTGTACAAGGTTAAAATCCATAAAATTGGACCTACAATCCTACAAATGATATGTCATGATGCAAAGAACATAATTACTTGATAGATTTTGGGTAATCTGCATTACAAGTTGCATCAATTACGTAAATTAAAATTCTCAACTCGTCACGCAAAACGGAATCAGTGCCGGGCGCATGACGCATCAACAACTAGCGATCCTTTCGACTCAGTATCGAAAATTGCGTTGCGCTGATACAGTAACAGCTGGTGTATCAACGCTCGTAACGCATACAACTGCGTTAACGCAATAACGCAACGCAGCGCTGCGTTACCCATGTCTAATAAGCAGCATGGAAAGGATCGGCCATTTCTTTTAAAGTAATAACATGTCCAGGGTTGCTGACCATCCATTTATCGCACTCGTTTGAAAAAGCGTTTTTTAGAGGGTAAAGAAAAACCCCCTATCCAAGGGTTGAAGTTTATGGCTTGCATGGGGCGGTAAGATTAATAAAGTTATATAATGACTTTTGGCGAATAAAATGGCATCCAATGAGCAGTGAGATATGTGATTGTCCATTATTAAAACTACTGGATCTGTTTGTGACAGTTTTACAAAGTTATTAAAATGTCGCAACCAAGTTAGAAACAAATCAGTATTCATATAGCTCGAATCTGATATCATTTTGAGTATGCCAGGTGGTGCTCTAAAAAAAGTTCATCCTGCATCCTTTTTCTTGTAAAAATAAGACTCGGTGGAACCCAAATACCACCGGCGCTCATGTAGCATACAGCAGTAACTAGCTGTCCTCGTTCACCTGACACAACTTTTGACATGGTTGTTTTGCCCTTTGAAGTATAAACTTTAGGTAGCTTGTTTGGGACGGTAGATAGTCTCGACTCGTCCATATTAAAGATTCTGTGTGGCGGTAATTTCAATTTTTCGTACACTAATTTCAAATTTTCGAAAAATCGTTATCACTGCACCTTATTAAAGCCGATGGCGCGACCTAAGCTGCATTTTTCTGGAGCTCTAAGGGACAACTTATTTCTTGATGCAGAATCTTGTACCCAGTGCTTTCCCGCCATTTTATTTTCTGTGTTAAACCTATGCAGAATTTTGTTTAATTCTGCATACTGAAACGCTAACCATCTTACGTCTTTCATACGCAGTCCATAAAATCTGAGATCTAGATATCTGAGATCTAGATATCTGAGATCTAGATATCTGAGATCTAGATCTCTGACATGGTCAGCCAATTCCTTTTCCTGCACTTTCGAAAATACGGGCTTTAACCTACCCAAACTAGATGGAATGGTACCCTAAAATAAAAAATTTACTTTTATTTCAAATCTAAAAACATCACTTCTTTATTACCTCTCGCAATCTTTTTCTCAAAGTACACTCGTTTATGTCGAATGATTTTGCAACGGACCTCTTACTTTCCCCTCTTGAGATACGATCTCTTGCTTGGTCAAGGATTTCTTGAGTGAATTTTAATGTTCTATCATTCTTACGCTTGTATTTGCCTATCTTAGCCTAAAACAGAAAATAACACGTACACCTCAGATGCCGCTAAAAGTACGCATGAATCCTAAGAGTTCACATGCGTACTCTTTGGCTTCGTACTCTTAGGAACAATGACACAAAAATGTAAAAAGTGAGTTCCAAATTTAGGCAACCCAAAAAACTTCCATCCACGTTGCTGAAGATGAAGCTTAAATATCACTGTTTACGCCATTATCAAGTTATTTGAAGAAATTTAAAGAATTAAATGAATCTGGCTTACCTTATTTGTTCAACATATAACAAATAATTTCAGAAAATTCAATTTTTCCACATAAATTTAACGCGTTTGTTGACAACAGCCGGCAAAACTATGGATTACATTTGGAATAACAAACAACTAACTACGGGCCAGACGGCAGTACTCGGAAAGGGGTAAAATTAAAAATATGGCGACTGCGTACTCTTATGGAACGCGTACTTTTAGGCGATCCTACCCTAAATACGAGTACTTTCGGCCTTTTGTGCCATCTTCAGGCAGAAGTAAATCTTGTCTTAGCCACACTGTCTATAGTTGAATAGAGCTATTAACCTACCCGGCTATAGCCTATTTCTTTAATCTGGATGATACTTTTATTAATCTAACGAATATTGGTAAATAATTTATTTTCTGTAAAAATATGACAGCTTCCAAAGATAAAATTAATGATAACAAACTTATATAAAACAATATATAGGGTGCTGACAAGATATGTAAAGTGAGTAAAAATACTTAGTAGGTAATTATTTTTTGAAAAAAAAAAAAACCTTCAAATCGCAAAGCAGAGATAAAAAAGATTAAAAAAAAAACAGTGTGATAATGAACCTGGTGACTTTCTACCAATTTAGCTAAATTTGGTTCAATATTGGTGAGTTGAAGCCTTAAATATCCGCGTTCGTTGATTTTTAAACGGTTTCTTTGTTTTATCAAAATGTTTGTAACCACACTAAAGCCTTTTTCGACTAGGTATGATGATGGAAAAGCGTTAAAGTATTTTTCAGCAATATTCCATAACACAGGATAATGTGTTTCAATATTGCGCTGCAACCAGAAGTTCTGATAGCCTTGGTTGAACTTCTGCTCAAGCTCCTCGTCTGTGCGGATGGTGATCAACTCTTCTTGCATTATTACATTGGCTTCTTCCATGGCTGTGATATTGTACGAACTTATTATCCGTTGAGCAATTTGTACATTTAAGAGATACTCAAACCTTAGTAAAATCCTTGTGTAATGGTCCAAGTGAGTGACATATATATGATCAAATAATATCGTCTTGAAGCATTTTTGGTAATTTTGACAAATGCGGAAACAGTGAATATTCTTTTCAGCTTAAATTTTGTTTATAAAGAATAAGTTTACCAACAAAGGGCGATATTATTGATTTTGTTTTAATCAGTCAAGTAATAAATATCTATTTTATAATTGTTTAGATTATTTTTCAAATTCGCATCTTGTCTTGTAAAAACTCCAACACAGATCCAAAAACAGTTGAAAATCTTACTAAGCAGGAGCCTCTTGATAGTCAGCGAACTCCGGTGTGCAGAAGTAACCCTTTGTCTTTTTTTAAATCTTTTCTTTTTTCTGTTTTTTGTTTTGTTCTTTTTTGGTTCTTTTTTCGGTTCTTTTTTGGTTTTTATTGTTTTTCTTTGTTATTTTTTTGTTTTTTAATGTAATTTTTTTTGTTTTATTATTTTTTTTTTCTTTATTTTTTTTCCGTCTTTTTTCTGTTTCTTTTTTGTTTTTGTTTTTTGTTATTTGTTTTTTTGTTATTTTTTGTATTTTTTGTTTTTGTTTTCTTTTTTGTTTTTTGTTTTTTTTATTCTTTTTTATTTTCTTTTATATCTAAATTTTTGTAATTTTTTTTTGTTAGCTTTGATATTTTTTTAAAAAAGAAATTTAAAGAAAGGAGCCTAACCCGTTCTAGGTGATTTATACTCATTTAGAATGGGACACAGAATAACTGAAGATTGTCTAATTAAAAAAACGAAACATGCTTGCAAAAATATTACTATTTTCCGAAATACAGGATGTTAAAGCTGAAAATTATTAATGGCTATAATTTTTTTATTTCTCAGTATATTTTTATAAATTTAGTAAACATTTTTGGTGTCATAATATACACCTATCACTAAAACAATCAGTTAAATAAACTTTTCTAGTGGCATATAAGTATAAGTAACCCTTTCCATCCCCTCTACATTTTACGTGACTATCCCAAAACTTTTTTGGACTAGACTTTTAAATTTTTTGATGTTTTTTAAATAAATAAATTATTCTATCAATAACTATGCTTTTAATTATTAGTGTCTGACATTCTTTTAAAAGATATTTTTTTGTTTGTTACAAACATTCAGTTCACTCGCCGATCTTGCCGGTATTGTTCATTTTTAACAAATATTATCTATACCTATTTGCATATTTTATTTTTTTTTATATACCTTTTGTGTTGCATATTTTCGTTTATACCTTCCGGTTCTTTATCTTTTTCTACCTTTTTCGGTTTTTGTTTTTTTTCCTTTTTTTATCTTTTTCTTATCGTTTCTTTCATTTTTTTATTTTTTTTATTTAACTTTTTTTGTCTTTTTTTTTGTCTGTTTTTTGTCTTTTTTTTGTATTTTTTTTGTCTTTTTTTTTCATCTTTTTTGTTTTTTTCCTTTTTTTGTTCTTATTTGTTTTTTTTGTATTTTAGTTTTTGCTTTTTTTTGTTTTTTGTTTTGTTTTTTTTTTGTTTCCTTTTTGTTTTTATTTTTTTATTTTTTGTCTTTTTTTGTTAGCTTTGATATTTTTTTAAGAAGGAAATCTAAAGAAGAGAGAGACACTTTTATGCCTAACGGCCGTTCTAAGTGATTTATACTCATTAAGAATCGGACACAGAATAACTGAAGATTTTCTGATTAAAAAAACGAAACGTGCTAGCAAAAATATTACTGGTTTCCGAAATATAAGATGTTAAATTATTAATGGCTATATTTTTTTTATTTCTCAGTATAATTTTATAAATTTAGTAAACATTTTTGGTGTCATAAGATACACCTATCAGCAAAACAATCAGTTAAATAAACTTTGCTAATGGCGTACGGCATGGATAAGTAACCCTTTCTATATCCTCTGCATTTTACGCGATTGTTCCAAAACTTATTTGGACTATACTTTTAAATTTTTTGATGTTTTTTTAAATAAATAATTTACTCTGATAAAGTGATTGGTTTTCGAGAGATTCACACTAAAAGGTAGATGTTCTTATGTTTATTTTGTAATTTTAAATTTTTATATAAATTCCCAACATGATTTAAAACAAAACATTCAAAATTATTCTTCAAGTTTTTGAAGAGTGGCATAAAATTTAGGGTGTTACTTACTCAAGTTTAATTACACCAAAAATGCTTGGCGAATTTTGTAAAATTATACTGAGAAAAAATATAGTCATTAATAATTTTTCAATTTTTTCGGAAATTAGTAATATTTTATCGAAGCATGTTTTGTTTAATCATCTTATTTTTAATCGGAGTATCTTCAGTTGTTCTTTGTCTCATTAATGAGACACCTTGTATATGTATAGGTGGAACACGTTTCGTGAAGGTAATATAAGGTAGGAAAGGAATATAAATATATTACTAAACCACTATGTAAAAATTTATTGTTAATATATTTTCCCTTGTTTAACAATATACAAAGTATAATACAACGTTTTAACTAAAAATTATTTTAAATTATATTTTACACAATATACAAACTTTGGTTTTTACATTAAATAAAAATAATAATAATCAACAACATATTACACAAATCATCATAGGTATAATAAATTGAGATGTATTGTCATAACTGTATCTAATGATGTTTAACATATCTTAAAAACAGGAGAGGTACACTTTCTAATGTGACTTTAATGCCACTATAAAATAAAACTATAGATAATTTATCTTGGTATAATGAATAGGTGAATGTAGGCATGATTTAGGCATTCTGTAAACATACATTTTTCCACTTTTAGGTTTGACATTTCATAATATGGTATGAAGAAAAAAATACGTTTAGAACTTAAAAAAATGTAAGTGTCTGTGTTTTATAAAATGTATTTTATTTAAAACAGGACTTTTTATGTCAAATTCAAATAGCCCATTAAATAAAGTTATCATTTTAAATAGATATTTCGAAATTATCTTTATTTGGATATGTAGAACAGTAGAATAAATAGGGTTAAAAACATAATTAGTTACATATATTTTTAGGTATAAAATTACTAAATAAAAATAAAAAATCTACTGATGACCTATAAGTTGCATTTTTGACAAACTAGTTGATCTACTAGAAAGAAATCAAACAGAAGTGAGACAAAATATGTTTTGTGTACCATCAAGTAGCCACTGATAGATGATAACTAAATTTAAACAATTTTAAATTGTTTTCGTCCACTTAATTAATTGGATGAATCTCTTATTTGATAATGTATTACGATTTCACAATTCGCATTAACTTACTTAAAAGTTAGAGCATCAATCAAAGCTCTTCTAGGCAAACTCTATATTTAGGGGAGTGAATTAGACTAGATATTGATTAGAATTATGGGCCGAGAAGTCTCCAGTTTGAAAAATGTACGCATTTATTGTGAATATTCTATGTAATCAATTTATCTAGTTTACCAAATTTTAATGGGTACTAGCTGATATCAAAACTAATAAAGTCGTATATATGTAGTAATATTGGCCCAAACTTCAATAGTTTTAGAAAAAAACAGGTTTAAATTTGTTACTCATAATTCATAATAACTGCTTTGTATTTTATAAAATTTCGACAAAAATAAAATCTATTAAACGATTATGAAAAGAAAACTGAAAATAATGTATATGGAAAAATAAATAACTTTTACAAATACACACATGACGTTTTCTACTACTTCTACTATCTACTATACATGACATGGATAAAGTTCCTATTTTGTGTTCTAGTTTGTAATTAGTGTAGGTATTTAATGCAATAATATAGTGTATTTCAAAAAAAGGTGGCACCGTTGTTATGATAGGTAAAACACTGCAAAATAAGTCTGATAAGCTCAGTAAAAAAATTCGTAACCGCATCCGTTTTCAAGATACAGGGTATTAAAAACAAATGTTATACACATTTTTTACGATTATTTCGAAACAACTGGTAACATTGTAATGAAAATTTGTACGACTATGTTTTGGAATCTGACACATCGCATAACTTCATTTTTATATCTGCCTCTCATAGAGGGCGCTAGTTACACGGTTCGTACCGAGTACTTTTAAACATAACTTTTTTAAAATTTTCTAGTCCAAATTTTATTTAAACTTAAACATCATTCAATTTTACAACAAAAAAATACTCCTGATTAAACTCGTTCTTGTTGTTCCAGAAAACTTATTTTGCAGTGTTCTACCTATCCTAGCAACGGGGCCACCTTCTTTTTGAAACATCCCGTATATGAACTTTAAAAATACTATATATTATTATTTTAATAACCTAATTCAATATGGCCTGGTTATAGATTACACAAATTTTCAAATAAAACTTTTTACCATTAAAATAGAATTCTTTTACTATTTAATGAATTTGTTTAAGTAATAATTTTTTTAGTTGATATTTGTTAACTAACAGTGACAATACGCTGATAACATGTCAGTCTGTGTGAATTAGAATTACGCGACTAAACTTTTTTCATCTCAAGGTAATTCAAAGACGTCACAATTAAACAATTCTTAAGAAATAAATAAACAAACTATAAAAATAATTAAAATTACAAAAATATTTCATACTTTTTAATTTTCAGAAATAGTGGTACACAGAAATGGTGGTACACAAAGTAAATGATAGCAACAATGTTTCTTTAATATTTATAGCGTATATGGTAGAGTGGTAGGTAATATTACTATTAAAATTTCTGACCCAACTTTTTCTTCTTACTGTTTTTACAATAGTTCTTGAGTATTTGCCGATGATAAAAGCAGATGTTAGTAAATATTTTAACAGCAAGAAAATATGTTTTGTTTGTTTCTGGATATAACGTTAAATGTAGTAGTATAAAGAGTGTAATAAAAATACAGATCATAAACGTAAGTTTCTGGGAATGATAAATAAGTCGGGTTAAAGTTGGATTCGCTTGAAACTTGTCACTCAGAGGTTTT